AAAAAAAAAAAATCCACGCCGCTTTGTTGTCCGAATCGATTAACCGATTTCTATTTTTCCGCTCCGACGACCGCTCGATCGCGAAACGACGATTGCCGGGGGTGCGGCGTGCAGTGGCCGTCCGTAGTGCGCGTACTCGTCGTACTCGTCATACTACGCACGGTGTACACCGGTAGTTATTATTATTAAGATTACGGTGTTACGCGGTCGTATTCAAGTCTGAAAGCTGTACCTTACGGCACGGTTCGCCAACATTTTCGAACAAGTGAGCTACATTTGAAATTTAAGTCCCTCCGACGTCCAGGAGAAAGAAAAAAAAAAAAAGAAGCTCTAAAGAACAATTATTATCTAATGTGTTTCCGTTATCCGATTATTTGATTATTTTACGCGATCTCGACTGATAAAATTAATTTTTACAACGATCGACCTATACTCCTAGAAAGATCGCGATCGACCGATTGGCCACCCCTGTCTTATTGTATTGTTTTATTTCGTTATTATACACACACACACACACACACACATATACGCATACGGTATACCGGACCATATATGCCAGCCTGAAACGACGCGTTACTCGTTTGGTGAACTACCGCAGCGAGTACTTAACACAATACTGCATCACTACCGTACAATACACAACCGTTCGACAGAACACATAAACGTTTCGAGGAGACCGAACAAACGATCGTTTTTCTTTTGCAGATAAGGCTAATGGATCATAAATCAGGAACGATGGCTGAGTGAAAGATTTGTCACGATTTTTTTTTCTCTCTCTCTTAATTTTCATCCTTGAAAAAGAAGTTTTCTCTACGTAACCGAAATGGATGTTCGAATCTCGCCCCGTGTAGTTGTACGTCTCCTTATTCGTGTAAGACGCGTGTTATCGTTGCGTTTGATGACTTCGATGAGTCACCGGTAATCTGATTGTTGCTCTCGAAAATCATGACTTTGGACTGTAACATTTTTTCGCTTCCGGTCCGCTAGCATTTAAGTTGAAAGATTTTTAATTTATTTTTTCTTACCCACACACAACTGAAATAATATACTACGTATTAGTATTTTTTAACAATGTATATTTGTTTTAGAAAAGAATTAACTCATATTATTACAATAGCCAACACTGGTTTTGTTCTTTTTGACGCGCGTGCGACTTACTCGATACTCGTTTACGGTGCACGTAATTTTAACCTAAATATAATATTTAGGAACACGGTTTTCACAACACAACAGCGTATCAATATGAGAACATGTACGTGTAGATATATTTTTACTTTGAAAGTTGCCGTGTAGACCAGCTGATGGTTTGCGTTGTTTTTAACACCATCAGAGTTTGCGCAATATCTTATATCTTATACATATTTATATTTACATCCATATCTCACTCTATCGTACTCTCTTTCTCTCTCTCTCTCTCTCTCTCTCTCTCTCACACTCTCTCTCTCTTTCTCTCTCTCTCCCTCTCACTCTCTCCCTCTCACTCTCTCTCTCTCACTCGAGAGTTGGTCAAAGAGTGGCTTCGGAAAACAAAATGCATTCATATGTACCTATATATATTTGTATACGTATATATTATGTGTATTATTCTCGCTGCAGCGGCAAATAACGATTACCGGTGCATTACGAAGGTTCGTGTTTGAGTGTTTTTTTATGTGTTCATAAAAAAACAACAACTTTACGAAGGTGTTGAGGTGGACAATAAAATAACGTACGTATAATACACTCGGTACCTATATGGTTGTGTGCGAGTGTGTGACCCTTGGCAATGAGAAAATCGGCTCAGGTACTAGAGTCTAGACGACAATAACGTACGTACGTATTGAAGTAACATCGGATTGTCGCGACAAAGGGCGGTTATACGGCGGTGTTCTGATAACGTGCGTATTGATAATAGTCGACTTTCGCAATAACGTCGTAACAAGCGAGACGAAGACTATCGGCTACGGCAAGGAGGTACCTTATACGTTATATAATATATGCGTGTATAGGTTCATAGTGTCAACGGCAATGGCAGTGAAGGGTGGAACACGCGTGCCCGGTAAAACCGTGTCCTATTGTTTTTTTCCCATCCTGCCCCGTGCCGTTTAAAACTTGCGCGAGATCCACGGGGAAAAAAAAATCTAAACACTTATATTATAACGAATACCGCGTTAAGTTAACGACGTCACGTGGGTTATTTATTCGACATCCGTGTCGAAACCCGCAGTCGCGGCGTCTGGAGAAAAGGATCACGGCCTCCGGAGATTTTTATTTTTTATTTTATCTACCGGGAAACGACTTCAGAAACTGCTGATGACGTCGAGTTGCCATGCTCCGGCAATAACGAGATCCTTACTGCAGCGCATACGCATGAACCGGGTCGTCGCTGCATAAAATAATTGCAATAACGTCACGTGCGTGGTTATACTGCTGTAACGCAAAACGTCTGACTTATGGAATAAGTCCAGTAGAAAGATTACGTCGTTTACTTGTTCTCGTGTTCGAGACGCGTCGCACTCATAAAAGAACAGCAAGATTTTCGACTTTTTTACCGCAATCATTAAAACCATAAACTTCGAGATTAAGAACTATTCGAATTAATTTTTATCCATCCTTTTATCGTTATAACATGGATGACGCGAACGTCTTTCTCTGAATTTGGAACATTTAAAATTCGTTTTTTTATTAATACATTCCATTTTCTGACTTATATCATCACTACGTGCGAGCCTAACGCGTAATATAATTGTGACGGAGATGCACTTAAAGCGTGTCATCACTCATGTCCCGGAAATGTTGTAATTGTTCGCAAACTCGTATTCATACTAAACGGATAATATTGTAATTATATGCGTAAGCTGCTGTTGGTCAGTATTTCGTAAAGAACGCGGTTAGACACGGTGTAATATTAGTTATTTAGTGTACGAGCCTAGAAATACAGTTTTCGAATTAAACGCACCCCATTCCCATTCGTGATCGCGCACGAGTACCCGGCCCATCATCCGACTGGCATCCGTTGTCCGAGCGTATAAATTCAACCCTTTGCCAGCGGTGGTACACAATGCGCGCACACGCGGCGTGGTGATGGTGTGATTTACATTTAAATATAATATTGTATAGTGTAAGGTATGTGTGTGTGTGTGTGTGCGCACGATTGTGTTCTGTATTCGACGCACATTGAAACTTAATAATAGTAATAGTAATATAATATTCCTGCACCTTTCGACGATGCCGACCTGGCAAACGCGCGCACCCCAAAAACGAAGGCGCTCCCGTCGCGATGACCTTATATACAATATATATATGTACAAATAAAAATGTACACTGTTCAGCGGACTGTTTCACCCTCCCCCACCCATTCCACCTCCACAGTCACCACCACCCTTCTCTTTATTATCTCGGCGGCAGATTTGCAATTTAAATTGGCCACCGCGACCGACACCCGTTTTGAACTCGGAAAGAACCCTTTCGCCGTTTTGCCGACCAGTGAAAAATGATCCTTCGCGTTCGGCAAAGAAAAAAAAACCCCCAAAACAAAAACAAAATGCAGTTTTTACAACATCACAAAAGATAATATGGGTATAAAAAAACTATTTCTATTACCACGTGGTGTCGTAAATTTTTTCTTCTTTGGACTGGCGTTTCTATTGAATCGGTTTTTAAAAAAAAAATACGTTTTATGCCATTATTATTATTATTATTATTATTATTATTATTATCTAAACCATTAATCCTGTGCGCCGCACGACAATCGCCACTGCTCATACCTTCGGCTGCGACGACATAACAGAGAACCCTTATGCGTGGTGATATTATTGTTTATTCGGATTGTAACGTGACCTCCATAGAAATATAAACAAAACAAAAACGGGGAAGTGGTCCGTAATCGCGATTTGTCGTAATGTATTATAATAATAATCGTAATAATGCTGTACGTGCGCAAACCAGTGCGAGACGGCAACTGGTTTTGACATGGATATTAATATTACTGTACACACATAACGCGAACCTTATAGGAAATCAAAACTTGTGGTGAGTTCGGTGTATGCAATCGGATTCGGTTGAACTGCAAATTGCACGCGCACACGTAACGTTTGAAAATTCCACGAGATTTCGATGTACGATTTTCTTCTGGTGAGCTTAACGAGTAAACTGCAACACGTGATGATATTGCACGTGGATCTCTAGAAGAAATAATACATTTATTTGTGACGTTATTGTATGCATTATCGTCGCCGATTTGTGTGATCACGTAACCCTTAATGCGTGTCCAGCTAGATCAATGCGATTAATGCGAGTTGTTCAAAATCCTTCTAATCGGGCCACATCGCAAGTTGACCACGAAGAAATTTCCAGATTCCGACCAAATAATAATTCACATTTGAGATGACGCAACATATTTTTATTTTATTGTTTTAGAGCCGATAAAATGTAACGTTCACACGATAAAACATGATCCTATGTGCATACTTACGTTATGAAAACTTTCATAAATATTAATGGCTGTAACATAATGGATAAAATACAATAATAAAGTCGGGTGAACGACCGACGAAAAATTATGATTTGAATTCCAAATTTTTTATTTTTCCAATTATTTTTCCGTTTGTGTTTCATTCACGTACCCGCAGAAGAGATGATTTCGTTATTTAAAAAAGTTTAAAAACAACCAGTCTGGCCACCCGAATCGAAACGGGATTCGGCAGTTTAATGCGTATTCCGTCCAAGGATCACGGGGAATTTTTCTCGTTACGCCAATAGATATCCAGGTTATTCCAAAGACCCTTGTCGTGTTTTCACCGCGTAAACTTTTCCTCTTTGCAGACGGATTTCAAAATGTATTTTTTATGATTTATCACTCGAAAGATAATTATTCCGAACAACTATATTGCAACTTGGTATTTTGATATTCCCACGTAATGGCGTTATTGCCGTACGTATATCGTATGGATGATGCGTGTATTTCACCGGAGTATTATGACAATAATGGTTGGCGTTCGCTTACGGCTTTTGCTAGACGTGGACTGTATTGTAATATCATAAACTTTTTTTTCCTTTCTTTTTTATCGTATACGAATACTGCGTCTTATGTAATGGTTTTTATTTTTTTGTGTTGTTTTTAATGGCCATGATAACAATACGAAATATGTTCGAAACTAGTCGGTTAAAATTGTTTTCTAACGACGAATGTATATTATAGTGTATAGAAATTTCACGTTCAGTAGTGATAATCGTTTAAATGTTCGACGGGATAATCGAATTCGTGTGAACAGTTTAATGCATCTCGTTACATTTAATAACTCATATACGTGTATTATAATGTGATGTATAAAGCATTTTCGTTTTTCTGACGCTGTTTTGCGGGTGTAATATTTCTCGAATACTTATTATAATATCACGGTCGTGTATATTGTCGTAACTCGTAAACGTATGTTAAGCTGAAAAACTGTCTTGTATTATAATGCCTTATTATTATTACTACTACTGCTAATAACATAATGTACGCGTAGAATTTCCTTTTCGACGAGTTCTTCCGTATTCGCACGAAATAACAATAATTATATTAATATCACGTGAAGTCGATCTCGGTAGTAACTCATCCGGTCGCGATTTACTTGAGATGTCAAACGTTTTGTACACAGACGGAATTTTCGATTACATTATTATTATTATTATTATTATGATTATTATTAATATCGTCATTATCATAATTATATTACTCGCCATGTTTACTACGCTTGTTTCGCTCGGGGCGCACGTCGGATGAGACTACGTCATTAATTTTAACCTTTGTGTACACTCATAGTGTTTTATGTTCGATTTACATGTATACATTAATATACTCGTGTTATGCCCTGCGCTGTAGCGTGTTATCAAAAACACTACTAATTTTTCGAACAGTTTTTTATCTGTTCAGATGGCGCACTACAATCTGATAGTTTAATATTTAACGACGTGGCGTTTATACTTTCTTTTTATTATTATTAGTATTATTCGTTTTGAATTTGTTTTTTATCACTTTGGCAGTTCGTTAAACGATAGTTTAAAGTAATAAATGAAAAACTATTATGTCGTTTGATTACGTACATTTTGACTCGACGTAAATTGTACCAAACACGTGAAGACGCGTGCACTGAAGTCGACATTTATTGAATCAAATTCGATAGAGGTATTAAATACGTAAAATTATAAATTCGATACGTCCAACGGGTTATAGTATTGTTTTTATTTTTACGAAAACTAGAAGAATCTACGATATTATGTTCACATCGTATTGGAACGTCGTGATAATTCGTTTAAAAAATAATTTCGTAGTCTATTCAGGGTCTGCGCGTTATAGATACCGATTAAATGGTCTACATCAATCACCCAATTAAATGATTACAAGCGTACATTAGTAAATAAAAAAGACCGTAGTGGATCGATCGACGACAAATATGCACGTGTTTAGATAATGCCAATAGCGGATTATAATAGTAATGATAATTATAATATGTGATATTTATATAAATCGAACGTACGTGCAACAATGGTACGGATGCTTGCATTTTATTGTTGTATTGACTGGGCCAGTGTCTAACAATTACGAGTATATGATGTTCGCGTTCTCGACAGCCAAATATTATACTGACTAGTAGACGAACAATTCGTTAACGGAAATAAACAAAATACATTTTGTTCGTGTACCGTAGCGCAAAAATATTGGAGTCTTATTCGAGCGGTCTTATGGCGATTTAAAGTACTTGTATGTTGTAACAGCTATTTTACTTACAACGCAGTATAAATGATTGAAATAAATGTACGCGCTTATGGCGATAAAAAAAAAAAAAAAAATGACATCCTCGCGATAAACACAACTGTAGTAGGTATAGTGTGTACGATAATGTGTGCAAGCATTGTCGGATCTTAATAGTCTTAAACGTAATAGACCAGTTAAATAAACAAAAACCAATTTTAAAACGATATTATAACACCTGATACTCAAAATAAATAGAATATCAATCATGCGGCTACTATACAATAGTAGTACAACATCGTATACACGGGTGAAGTTTCACACATTTGTTAGTGCACATTGTCTTTCTCGTTTCGAAGCAGTCGAAGAGTCTTTAATGCATCTAATGCACAATTTAATCAATAATTTCGATAAAATAATATTTAATTTCTAACAATATTTCAACACAAATTTTACAAGTGATTTTTCGCTTTCTTTGACGTCAAAAATGCAGTTCGATATTTTTGATATTTATAAAATATATTCATGGAAAATATTATTTTAATTTGAAGTCTTCGACAATTCCTGGTCGTGGTCCTAGTACACGCGTTAAACGATTCTTGGAACTTCATAGCATATTATTATATTCATGGCTCTGTCGTGTCATCAATCAGTGGTGCCGGAATTTATTCGCATACATTTCTACGCGAATTTCCTCTCGTTGAGTGACGAACGATTGTTTCAGATAAAATATACCCTTTTTAAAGATTGTCATTTTCTAGAGTTCTGGATGCACACTCAACACAATATTATCCGTTACATAGTAATTATATTGTTCACGGCAATTCGAGTAATTTTTTTGTTAACTATCAAGAGCAAAATGTTGATGAGTTTTGAAAAACACAGTTTATGGGTAAAAGTTAAACTTGTGTCTTAAGGATTTTGAGTTTGCCACACCTGTGTTACGTTTTTTTTATAATTTCTTTTTTCGATTTTATTATAAATAATTGTTTTTCAGTTTAAATAAGGGCGGAGTAGGGTGTCTGGTGGCTAAGATGATATTTCGTTCTCACCATTCCTACACACACATATATATATATATGTAATATACATTATCGATGCCTCGGAACGCTGTAATGACTGGGCAATCGGCGGCGCGTAAGATATGGTACCGAAATCGGTGGTTTCGACTAATTTGTCGTAAATACGTTTCTGCTCGTGAGATTTTTTTTTGGTGTTTTTCATTATTTCGTTTTTTTTTTTTTTTTTAATGATAAACTATATTATACAGTATCAGCAATAATCGTGTGTATAGTGTAGTGTAAGGTTTGTGTGTGTAGTTGTATATGTGAAATGAGACAGAATTATACGCGTATCCGTGTGCTGTGGCGGCAAACCTTATAATAATAACACACGCGGCGTTCCGTCTATCCGCGTGCCGCCACCGCCCTGCCGACAATCAACGGCGTCGTCCTCGTCGTCGTCGTCGTCGTCGTCGTGCGCGCGGAGGTGTATTTTCCGATTCGTCCGTGACGTTTAACGACGCTCCAAAACGGTTATAAAAACTTCAGATAAATAATGGGTGAAAATGCGCTCAAACGCACGTATTATATAATAGATATAGTTACGTGTAGTGCGCCGCTTCTCTAGTATATAGCTCGACGAGCATTGTAATACAATCATTTGTAACGCAGTGGTGGTACGTTTTAGTGGTGCGGGCGGTGCACGAAAAAAAGGAAGAAAAAACTCTTACGAGAAATGTGCGCGGTCCGAAATTAAAGTGTTGCGTTTTTCTATCATTTTTTTTTTTTTTCATTCTATTCCTACTTTTTGTGACCGGTTCCAAAGTGATTATTACACACACTCGAAAACGATAACGCGCGTGTCCGTGTGTTTGTGTAATAAAGAATATTATACACATTATTTATTGTTGTACATACGTTATGACGACGTGCGCCGCGAGGAAACGTTATCCGGGTAAATTGTGCGTTTTAATTTATTACGCGTATTTATTAACGGATTTCAGTTTCTTTTTCTCATCCATAGCCGTCCAAGAATATATGTAATATACGATCGCGATGGAGTGCAGTCTAAACTATCTCGCACCTTAACCTACCGATCCCTCCTTCCACCGCCCGCGATTTTGTGTTGAAATATTATAAGTGTAAACGTGCACATAATGCAACGGAGTCCGATAAAATATCTACATTATATTAAGTTTATTGTATTATTAATATTACGTGACCAATGAAAACTAGAGGCTATAGCGAGCAGTGTTGGGACTTATCTAGATAGATTTTTTGTCATCTTGTATCTTATCTAGATAAACAACGCTAAGTTATGTAATTGCTTATCTGAGATAAAATTTTTACTTATCTGGATAATTGTCTGTATTCTTGCCAAGAGTTATTTTTATTCTTGTACGGAGACGAACCCAACAAATCAGAGATCATAAAATTCGGTCCAGCCGTACTTGAATTATAAATTCTGTAACTAACCCGACTTTCTTTTATATGTATAGATTTTGTATTCATAATTATAATTCGTGTATTGTTAATAAGTAATTATTTCTTGGTATGACATTTTGTTTGTATTTTCATGTCGAGGAAATATTTTTGGTATTTTTAAACTTAATTTCTTATTTTTCCATGAAAGTTCCAAATATAGTAGGTATTTGATTTTAGTATATATATGTAACTCGTACGCTGAATAGTCAATACTTCACTCTTGGAATCCGTTAAGTCGTAACTACTTACAGAATAATGAAAATCATCAAATTAAGATTATATGGAAAACAATATAGTTAAATTAAAATAAATGTATTCTGTATTCATCCTGATACGTACAGAGCAATTTTCATTGTTTTTTTTTTTTTTTTGTAACATTTTAGTGATTAACTATCATTAAATATTGTACATTAATGTACCAATAAATACTGCTAAATGGTACACAACATTACTACAATAAACATTTAACACCTAGGTACCTATTGATAATAATGATTATAATTGAGTCTTCATAGATATTATTACAAATATGAAAAATTGGCCAAAAGATAAAAAAATTTGAAAATATCTTTTTTTTATCTGGATAAAAATAAAATTATCTTTTATCTTTATCTAAATATTTTTTATCTATTATCTTTATGTAGATGAATTTGGACATATTATCATTCATCTTTATCTAGATAAATTTTAAATTATCTATTCCCAACACTAATAGCGAGTCTATAGTATTATGAGCGAAAATATCGCAAAACAAAAATTATAAACAATTATGCGCACACGTTACCCGTTTTACTCGCACGCGCG